TCTCTATCTTGTGTAAACAGAAATAGTTCTCCCCTATTCTTGTGTACTCTTGAGATTTCAGATAAGTCATTATTGTGATTCTTTCAGCTATGACAGAAAAGAAGAAATAATTTAACAAATGCTGAGCACTAAGACTATTACAAACCCCTTTCTTTTTCATGTCATTATAGTAATTTATGCTCGGTTTCTCCTCTGCTTTATCAGGATATACTAATTCTACATGTATATAAACATCCACACTGAGTAGAAGGATCTGTACTGTAGATGACATCTACATAATTGAGAATTGAAATTCCTTCTCTTCTCCTGTGCTTTGTAGCCACTCAGCAGCTATCCTACAAAACTGAAGGCATAGGAGGAAGTAGATTGGGAAAGTTGGATCTATCTTTGGGTGGCAAGTGGTAGTTTGAAGCAATGTAAACTGTGATTTATGGCACTGGGCAGATATGAACTGCCAGGCTAATAGTAGTGTAGTTTCTTTTTTAAAAAGATACAGAAATAATACTTTAAAAGTATTATTTAGTCCCTAACCATGCGTATTGATCCTCTGACTTGAGGGACTTCAAAGCCATTTGTTCTCTCATTCTTAAAATGGAGACAAAGAAGTCTGGATGTTGTCTTACCGATTTTGTCCATCCTTTCTACAGAAAAGACTTGTTTTCTTTTAGCCCCTGCTTCTTATGTGCAGCAAGATTAGATCATCTCTAAATGCCATAGTATACTAACTGTGAGGTGATTGCTTTTCCTGGGCTTAAAGGAGACAAAAATGTGTATAAGATTCATCATATTCACTCCTATACAGCCCAGAAGAAGGAACCCATTTAATCTTTGCAATTGATTTCTTCCTACAACATGGCTGCACAGTTGCTGCTTAGGCATTGCTATTTTAATGCAAACTTCAGGCTGAAATGCTTAGCTCTTATTTTTTAAAAATCATTTAATAATACTTCCTGTATAGATCAGATCATCTTCACATTGACCCCTGATCGCTAAGCACCAGCAAAAGCAAATATCTTTCCAACAATATGACCACATTCTGAAGGATGGAAGTTAATTATATTAGTTGAAGTTGCCATGAACCAAAGCACCCACTCAAAGCCACTTTAAATGCATAACTAATGTAACTAAGCCAGCAGTTTTAATGCTTCTGTAGTTGGTAACCATTCAGCCTTTACTCAGCTCTGTACTATTCAGTTGAGTATGAAAGAAAGGCTTATATTTGTAAAGTCCCATGGCCCCTGTACAACAATCATTACAAAAATCCTTTGTGTTTTGTTCACTGGTCAATGCTGTTGCCTTGGAATTTCTGCAGTAGCCTTGATTACTTGAAATCACATTTCTGGACATTTTAATGGCATCACTCTACTGATATATAATCTCACTTTAAAAACAGATGAATTTATCTTCATCTGGTATAAATCAGCATATTTCTCAGTGGAGCTAAGGCAGTTTTTATCTGTAGAGCACTTTGCAGAGCATCTGATTGCAGGTTCAAGTTTGCCTCATTGTGGAAAGCAGAGAGTTAAGACTTGTCTTGAGTGTAATATTTCAAACTGGAAAGTCAATAATGCAATTCATTGCAAGTTCTGTATTGATATTTTTATGAATTGCCAGCATTTAACTCAAGAAAGTTCAACCATGTTTACGGATGTCTAGCTTTACTTAATATTTTCAGGAGAAAGAACAGGTATGCTTAAGAAGGAAGAGGGCTGCCCTGGAATTCATTCCTGTTGCAGAGAAAATAAATGATTTCCTTTCAGAAGACTTTATCTATGCAGTAAAGTGGTCAAGTATTTATTTTTGTCACTTGGATGAAGTTTATGTAACAGAGCAATGCTTATAAGGATGTAAGTTCCTGGCATTTTTCCATTTATCAATTTTGAAACATTAGTGATCAAGCATTTACTGAACACCATTCCTCAAATGCAGGGTCTCCACAGCATCTTATTGCATTCATGGAATTCATTTGTTTGCGTTATCTGGCTAACTGGTCCTTTTGTATTGCCAGGGTGATGAACAGATTTGACATTTAGCTGATTACTCCACCAAAATTAAAAGGAAAACAGGGCAGTCATCCAAAGTTCCTTTCAGTGTGAAAGCTAATTATAAAAATGCTTTGAGCAGCAATTTCTTTTTGGATGTTAAAGTGCTTTTATTAGATTGTTCCCCTGTCATTTTAAAATTTATTGCTAGACACTTATAAATGGGGTTGCCTGCTGGGGCAGAATTATTTTATTTTAACTTCTGTAGTTACGGTGGGAGCCAGAAGGCTACAGAATGTATTTTAGGCAAAATTTGTAAGTTTTTTATAATATTTTGAATTGAAAGGAGGAAAATTAACCAGTGCTGGCTTTTATGGATTTAAGGAATAAATTCTTTACTTATTATTAAGAAAACAATAAATGCACTTATATTTACAATTAAGCAACTTCCCATTTCCAAACACAATTGCTTAGTAAATAAAAAAAATCAGATATGTAATTTAAAAGTTGAGTACAGACCTTGTCTTCTCAGTAGCTTGTGTTTTGTAGTGTATATATAAGCAATCAGTGCTGCTGGAAAAATCGAACCCTGTGCTTGTACCTCTTTCAGAAGCCAGTACTTGTTCTCAAATAGCATGAAACTACTCCAAAGTCATTTTGCTGAAGTCATTGCAAAAAAGTTGGCCAAGTGAATTTCAACCAGTAAATTTAGGGCTAAGTAGTGCTTTCTCCTGTTATCAAATCTTATAAGTAGCTTCTTCTGATTTTTTTTTTTTTTTTTTTTATTGCCTTGGAGTATCTTTAAATTTTCATACTGACTGTTGTTATTAGTATCCTTCAGGCCCCAGACAAGGTGTGACCTGGGGAAGTTTCAAGGTGACAAAATCGGGTGTTTTTGCATATGATATTGTCTAGCACACACTGGCTACTGAATCATCTTGTGAGGACATATGTTAATTCTTGACACTGAGATCTATTAATATACTGTGAAGCCAAGAGAATGATGTGAATCTGCTCTTTCAAACTGTAGAATTCTGCCATAACTAGGAGGAAATATTTTGCTATAGGTAGATTAATGTTGAAAGCTTGTCAAGGAAAAGTTTAATGTCGAAAATTTATTCTTCCTCTTCTTGCCAGTGCTTCAGGTTCTCTACTGAAACCCATTTGTAATCTACAAGAAGAAATAGATTTTTTTTTTTATTTATCTGTTTTAGAATTCCAATAATTTAGTCAATTGCCTATTAAAAAGTGCATCCCAATGAGATCTTCCAGGGGATGATTTTTGCTCCCATCAACCTGAGATCTTTTCTTGTAAAATATATTAATTGATATTAATTGTTTGTGCTTAAAAATAATTCAATTCATGCCCATTGCAGGATACAACATTATGTATTAATATATAATAAAAACGTGAGTTGGAAATTTGCTAAATACACTTTGAGGAGAAAATAGGGCTTAAGATGTATGTTTTGAGGAAGCTTTGAATAGACAGAGAATGCAATCGGAATATGCATAAGATGCTTTGTCAGTTTTTTGTTTTGTTTGACTGTTAAAGTGTATTTCAGAGGTAAGCCTTGATAATTTCTCTTAGTATCCAAGCAGCTTATAAGGCAACTGACTCCATGCTCTTTCAGAACTTCAAATAAGTAAAAAGATCAGTTTTTAAAACAAATACTCAATGAAGTTTGCAAACTGTCCCTATAGTTCATCCATATGTCATATATAGTCATCCATATAAAGATTTTCATTGGTGAATTTCTGCGGATTTGACATTATGTGCATCTTTTGGGATGGACTCGATGATCTCAAGAGGTCCCCTTCCAGCCCCTCTAATTCTGTGATTCTCTGATTCATGCTCTATTTGTTCCCTTCACACATTTACCTACCTACTTGATAGTATGATGTATGATTCAGGAACATGTTAATGTGGGGTAGAAGCAAAATCCTGTTAGTTTGAAAGTTCTTAGATTATGTCATTGTATACAGAGGACCTTCCTTTGCTGGCTTTGAATGGTAACAAGTAATACATCTGTGCAGTTTAAGCATCTTGTTGGCTCCACTCTGGTCCACCCTTTCCTTGTGTCAGTGAATTTCCTGTAATCCAGAGCAATGTGGGCATATGTGATATATTCAGCTAACCTGCATAAACAATAAGTTTAGAACACATCAGACATTCTAAAAGCATGAATCTATGTAACTTTCAACCATGTTTCTGTTCCTCTTCTGAATAAACAAAGGATAAATGGACCTAGCTCTAATACAGAACCCACGCATACTCATCTGTTGTGGTTTATGGATCTGTCTGTAGTGGTACTTTCTGAACTTGCAACATGTTCAGAAAGTATTTGGCAAAAAGTCTGCCCATGAAGGTCTTACTGCACACTTGAGCTCAACTCTCTCAATGGGATACATTCAAAAGATTTTAAACAAGTCTGAGCAGAGCAGCAGTTAACATATGCTCATCAGGGCTTATTTTTGAAGGAGTGCTTTATTGAGACTTCTGTCAGAAAATAATTTCTTTTTTCTTTTGACGAAAATAATTTCAGCAGAATGAGGGAAAATAGCTTTAAACTGGAAGAGGGAAGATTTAGACTAGATGTTAGGAAGAAATTCTTTACTCTGAGGGTGGTGAGACATTGGAATGGGTTGCCCAGGGAAGCTCCCTGGAGACATTCAAGGCCAGGCTGGATGGGGCTTTGAGCAACTTGGTCTAGAGAGAGGTGTCCATCCCTATAGCAGGGGGCTGGAACTAGATTGTCTTAAAGGTCTCTTCTGACCCAAACCATTCTGTGATTAAAGGAGAATTAAACGGAAGACTTTTTGTTGGTCAGCAAGTTTTTGTGCTGAATTTAGTTTATTTTCGGAATTGAAACTTCTTATCTTATAAATGCCACCAAATTTAAGTCATTCAAAATAAATTGAGTAGTTAATCCACAGCCCGGAAAATAAGACCATAAAACCCCTCTGTGTTTGCAAAAATATTTATTGGAGTAACCTATACCTATTGTTTTTCCATAGGTCGATGGAATACTGTGCCTGGCTGACATTCTTACTGATAACACCCATTCAGAAGCCACTCATGCAGAAGCAGCGGCAGTAATTGCACAGATCACATCTCCACATCTCACATTCACTCAACATCTCAGCAGCTTTCTGGAAAATATGGAAGAAATTGTAACTGCGCTTGTTAGTAAGTTCTTCTGAGTCTTTCCAGTTAAAATGATGGCTTGAGGCATCTTTCATTAACCACGTTCTGTAAAGAATGTTTGCTATTCTGTGCTTTCCAGATAAAGGAACTCAGCCATTTTTAAATTCTGAAGCTGGGCATTCTACACTTACATAATAATTTTAACTCCTGTCCATTTTTGAGTAAAATTTATGCGTATTTATCAACATAACATCCACATGCTAGACTACCATTAGAACCTCCAAATGAACTGAGCCAAGGATCCTCCTGTCTCATATTTGTCTCATATTTGGACTTTCTAATCATTCCTTTACAGCTGTTGTGTTTCTAAATTTGCTGTAAGTAGACTGCTAGAGGCATCTGAACAGACTTGAGATGTATTTAGCATTTATTTATACATATTTATTGCAATGCACCACAGTGAAAGGACAACCTTAATAACCCATCTAGAAGGGATTAGCAGGAGGAGAACTTCCCTGATTGTCAGTGCTCCAGTTTCACTTCAATTTTAGTAATATAAACTCTGCTCAGGAAATGTGAGCATTAAAAATAAACCATGTGTAACTTCAGGAGAGCTCTTTCAATAATCACACACCAGTGTCCTTTCAATATTTATAGCTCAGTAATCGAATTACTGTAATATGTTTAATTTTTAAAACAGGCTGGAGTGTTATTGCCAGGTGATTCAGATCTTACTTAGAATATATGTGTGCAAGGAATTAAAAGATAACCATGAATTCAGCACTTCTTATCGAAAATGGAAAATACACAGGATGACTACAAAGAAATAGGCTTAGAGATGGGCAAAATGTATGCAGTTTGTTCTAAAGAGCAGGATATATGGGTGAAATATTCTTTTATGGATCAATTACTGTCAGCCTTCTGCCTGTAGTATTTCATTTCATTTATATCAAGGTGTTGAACAACATTCAGTGGAATATTCTTTGTAGAATGATATAGTAGGTAGATACTCTCATTACTTAGATGAATGCTCAGCAAACAATTGCTTTTAGTGTTCAGAAGCACAAACGAAGATGCCTAATGTTATTAATGTTTATAAAGCACTCTAAAAATGTGATGCAGTATATAATTTCCAACTTAAGATTATTTTTTTTGTTTTGTTTTGTTTTGTTTCTGCTTTTGTCTTGAGCGTTACAAACTTGGCCATGGATTACTAATGCAAACTGCAGATGGTTAAATGTTGCTTTGAAACAAATGTGTTTTTGCAGTGAGAGGATGATTTTTATTCAATTTATTCTCTGCATTTGTAGAACTGTGCCAAGAAGCCTCATCTGGTGAAGTTTTCCTGCTGGCTTCAGCAGCTCTTGCCAATATTACTTTCTTTGATACCATGGCTTGTGAAATGTTGCTTCAGCTAAATGCTATGAAGATTCTTCTAGCAGCGTGTTCAGACAAACACATAGTGGATACTCCATATTCCCGAGATCAGGTGAGTGACTTCTCAGCAAGATACTATGAGCACATTTATGCAAAAATCAGCTGGTTTCAGCTTCTTGTCTGTCTTGATGTAGGCAAACCTAATTTGATTTCCTGTCTTCACTTTTGTTCACCCTAAATGTGGCTTTTTCTTCATCTGTTTGTGTCCATTCTTGTGCATTCTAAAGTCTGAATGTGGTTTTATGGGGAAAAATAGCCCCTTCCCATATTTATAAGATACGGGGATTTATTTTTTTCCACTGTGAAGCTGGTCAAGCACTGACACAGTGAACTAGAAAGGTTGTGGAATCTCTCTCTTTGAACGTATTCAAGACTTGGCTGGACAAAGCTCTGACAATTACTGTTAAAATATATAGAGACATCAAGGCCTATATAAACTATTTTAAGTTCAGAGATGAATTAGCTCCAAGAGCCGAATATGGATCTGATCCTCAGCCCATTGACGTTGGTGGGCTTTGGATCAAGTCCTAATTACTGTCCTTAATGTGCTGCTGTTTTGGTGCAAGCAAGACCTCAGTTTGGTGTGGTTCTAGACATGGCTTTATACTGTTAATTCATATATACAATTCCTCTAATTCCTAAGGACAGCTAGCACTGATTAGTTGACAGCCTCCACGGTAGCATGGATAGCACTTCACTCAGGAACTGAATGTCAAATGCATTCTTTGTTGCCTGCAGGAAGTAGTTTTCTGCTTGTGCTCCTCTAGCAGTGTTTTGTCTTTTGATTTCTGAGAAGCTGTTTTATGCAAATGATAAACTTCCTGCCTTCACTGTCTGAAAACTGACTTCCTCTTTCACTTTCCAGATAGTGTTAGCTTAGATGAGGTTAGAAACCAAAAATTGTGTTGCTGGACTTAATGACAACATAATAATTGACCATGTAATAGCAGCAGGCGTTGTTTTTGTAACCAGAAGTATGACAGTGGAATTGCTTAATTTTATAACAGAATACTTTGCATAAGAGATGTCAGATGAAGCCTTAATTTCCAGACAGCTTAACCTCTAGTTTTCTATCAAAATGGATACACGTGTGTTCTCTGTTATTTTTCTTAATGTGGATACTTTTTTTTCTTTTTTTTTCCCCTGCATAGCAGGTTTGCACTTTAAAGCCCCATCTTTCAGAGAGGTTCCTGCCTATGTTCATGTAACATGTATGTGTTCAATGTGTGTGTGTATATGTATATAATGTCATATGTCTTAATGGAGAGAAAGCACTGTCAGAAGAATGATTCTAACAAAAATCCTTGTCATTTAGGGCCCCTTTCATTTTAACCATCATCTTAGACTCTACATCGAAAAATATGAAATATGTGTTTGTGCAAGGCATATTTATGTATAATAAATTTTTTTCTCTCTGCATTCCCACTTGTCTTCTCAGTGTTGCTAGTATTCTCACCTCACCTGTGAAGCTGTGGAGGTAAAGTCTAACATCTTCTGATCTTCTGTTATTCAAGCAGACAAAGAATTAATGTGCAGTGAACACATTGATTTTAAAGTGCTTACTTCTAGGTCTAAAGTCAGTGAGTTATTTTCTGAAAAAGTTTTAGGTGGAGAAAAGCTTTAAACTGGAAGGTGAAAATTGAAATAGTTACTGCTTTGTTTTTGCTCTCTTTTTCTTCCCCCTCCTAAATTCTTTCCATTTTCCTTGGCACCTGGGAGATGCTGCAGGCTCTGAAGCTGAGATCTTCTCTCTCAGTTAAGATTGGAATCTCTTAACATTTTTTTCCCTTGCATGGATGATTGCAGGGTCAAAAAGTGAGCAGAGACAGATATTATTTGAAGATCAAGAAGTTTAGATGTTTAAATGTTGCCTAGCTCTCAGTGAAATACTTTGGAAACATTATTTTTAAAGAGAAGAATACTGACAGGACCTTTAGACTTCTTATGAAAATCCCTGCCAGCTTGCAGTACTACCTCTCAACCTGTATTTCTTGAATGCTGGGGAACTTATAACTCCTTGTCAATTGCTTTTTGTTTTGTTTGTCATCATGAAGACTGTTAGATTCCTGACTCCAATTTGTTAAATGGCTGTCCAGATTTTCCCTTATGTTTGGAAGGCAGTATGGTCTGAGGAGAACTTGGCGCTCAGAATGGAGTTTGAGCAATGAAGTCTGTGTAAGATGCCCATGTTCCCTACACTTGACAGAAGTAGAAGATAAAATCATTGCTGGTGAGGAAGGCAGTTGGAGTCTTTCTTGCTTAGGCTTTCTAAGTTCTAGGAGCAAAAGAATAATGTGGGAGGCTGCCTTTCCTGGTTAGTCAGGAGAGGAATATCCCTTCTACTGCTGAACCATCAACTATTCTTTCCTAGGGAATAAATGCACGTGATACCCTGGGACTTTGTGGCCTATGCCATGTTACACAAGCATCCAGGGACAGAGCAAAGGTCTCTGGTCTATTGGGTCTGGCTGCAAACTGTGTTTGGTAAACTGTACACCAAAATTGTGCAATCTATTCTAACATTTACTACATCATGCTGAGAAAACATGTTTTCAGCTAATACAGTTAGAAATGGAGGTTACGTTACATAATTAAGTTGTCAAACAATATATTTAAGAAATTAAGCAAGAAACAAGACAACCACTAAGATGCAGAAATGAAAACTAGGCCCAAAGTCACATGTCCTTATCTGAACTTTAACTATGCCATTATATCACAGATATCTAATTAATTTTCTTTGTAAGTCTGCAATTGTTTTCCTGGTGTCCCTTTTTTGTTTTTTGTTTTTTTTTTTTGTTTGTTTGTTTTAGAGAAAAGACATCTCTTCAACACAAGATCTTTTTGAGACAAAATGTCTGTTTAGTTATAATTCTGCCCTGCACATTCAGATTAGATGCAGTAAAATGCAGCATGCAGCAATATGCAAAACGAGAGGCACAGTTGAAAGAGTGAAATCCTCATGTCAGCTGAAGAACTCTTTGCTGTTCTTTGCTAGTGGCTAGGGTTTTATTCCTGGGATCAATTCCCAATATTGTTCCTGCTCTGATTTTGAAGTAGTAATTTAACTTCTCAGCATTTCTGTTTAATCATCTGTAAAGTTGGGCAGACAGCGCGCTTACTCAGTGTAAAGCCTCTCTGGAGGAAACATGTTGTGTCAGCACAATTCATTGCAGTTTTTATTCTCAACCCTTGCCTGCCAGGTTCACAGCACAATCAGGCTGGTGCTGGAGTAGAGCTATTTCCAGCAGAATCTAAACAGGAGACTGTAACAATCATAAAGCTGGAAGTCTGAGATGGTTGTGTATGTGTTTTGCTACTTTTGTTTTCTTGGCTTCTTTACAAAATTTGACAGCAGACCTCTAAATGTCTCTGTCTTTTTCCACTCATCATTTTTTTCCAGAAGAGTTATCACTACCAAGCTGAAGGCTGCAATTTCAGTCTCAGTTCTAAGCAGGTGAGCTCATATGAGCATTTCTACATACTGTGATTCCTTTTCTGCTGTTTGCTTCTCAGGTAGCTAACTGATACTTTCTAGGATAAGCACCAGAAATGACTTCCCAGCCACTGTACTTGAGTTAGTGGCAGCTGAACTAGATCCTGTGCTCTTTCTCACTTCTAAAGTGGGAGTGATTAACTTTTCTCTCACAGATTCAAACCATGATCCCAAGTAGACAAAATAAAATTGTTTCCTACTGTGCAGCAGCTTAGGCCAAATTATGCTTCTGCTACAGGGAGACTAGGTATCTTGTGCTGACTGAATCAGTTCCACAATCTAAGAAACTTTCTAATAACACAAATAGTGTCTTAGGGATGATCTTTTTTTTCCCCAGGTTTTCATCTGAAACAAAGGAAATTGTGGCCCCAGAAGCAAGAAAAGAGACAGGTTCAATCTCCAGCACTAACTAGCTCAGAGCTATACTGCCTAGTTTATGGAACATTCCTATTAGCTGTGTGAGCCATGCAGGATGCATTTCTCATATGCTTCTTCAAAACAAAAAATGTGAGAATTCTGCCCACTCCTTGGCTACTTTAGTTAGCACTATGAAATAAAATAGATAAAAAGGTAGTAAAGACATCCAACCTACAACAGGGGAAGATTCCTTTAGTCCTAGCCTCTGATACTCTGCCTTAGCATTCCAAGACTGGGGTTCCCTGACGCAGTCTTGGAGTAGATGTAGAGTTCACAGGAGATCCTGTCTCTAACTGCTGTTATTTTTCCATGGGAATATTTGCCTCTTCCAATGAGATGGCAGAAAGACCCTATTTGTGTAGGTATATTTTTTTTCTTCTGTTTTCAGGAAGGAAACTGAATTCCCAATCACAGGAATGGGTAGCTGATCCAGTGGGATTTAAGTTTTTCACTACAAGTGATATCATGTGCCAGAGAAAATTTCTAGAGATTTCTTAACAACATCTTTCCTCCCAGTACTATCCTGAAAGAGTATCCTTCTACCTCAACGTGATGTAATGCCTGTACCTGAACCCTGCTGTGTATACTCTTTTGCTATCTCCCTATGGGCTGATCTCAAATTGTGAAGTTTAAATGTTTTTAATTTACATTCAGATACAAAGACTCTCTTCCTTCTGATTAGTTATCAGATGTCCCTTTCTTCCTAAAGATGGGTATCTGGAACTTTGTAGACACAATCTAATTTATCCTTATATCATTAATTTGGATTAATTACCAAATACAATATTTGGTAGCAAAAATTAATTATACTTAGTGATGAAACAGCCTTAAAGAAGTAATTATCTAAGAAGATTAGCAATTCTATATTGATCTATTTTGCCACTCTATTAAATTACTCAGTAATTCTTATTTTGATCTTGTGACTTTCTATTTATGTTGGGGCTATCAATAAAAGCTTGCCGGACAGTGTACCTTTACTATCAACAACAGCATATTAGCATCACACTTTTCACCTCTGTAGATCTCTCCCCACAAATGAGGTAAGTGACCCTCAAATGTGGAAGATATTGGCCCTTTAACAAGTTGAAATGTGTGCTTTCATCTTTCAAATCCTGCTGCATTTTTCTTCCTGAGTAGCTGGTTTCACACTAATGAGAAACACTTTAAGATCATCTTATATCTCCCATTAAGGGTGAGTTATCTCAAGCAGTAAAGAAGCCTTCTGTTTTCTATGTGTTCTTTAGGTTTAAACCTCTTTGTCGCTTAAAGCATTTGAGTTTTACACTCACAGCATATGCATCTGTGTTTATAAAAAAATTTTCAACTCATTTTCGTTTTTGTTACAAATGGCCAGTACCTTTATTCACTAGTTAATGAACATTAGTCACCATTACTTGTTTAGAAAGAGAAGTGTTATGATGTTACGTGGTTTTAGTAAGAAACCCTCCAGGTTGACTGATGCTCCAGAATTTTTGGACAAAACCATTCTTAACCTTAGTTTCTCAAATTTCTATTACTCTTGACAACTGTAATGCCTAAAGTTCAATGCAAAGTAGACCACAGAAACGAAAAGAAAGGTTCATCGCATCAGGATGTGAAGGGCTGGGTGGGGGGAAGGAAACTGTGTGGAACTAAAAATGTTTTGATTGATTTTTGATTTAGTTTATTAAACAACATTATAAACACTTCCAATTATAATAATAAGTTACATTGTCACTAGAGAGGGATGTATCTGTGTTTATTATTCATTCCACTCATAGAAGTATACTGATATTTAGTCAGATTTTTCATTACTTTCCAGAGCAACAGTAAAAACAATAATATGATGCTGTACTGACTTCTGAAAAGCCTGAAATGTCTCTATTATTTTTAAGTGTATTTATTAAATAGGGAACATTTGCATGGGTCTAAACTGGAGCCCCCTTGCTCCAGAATTTTTGATGTAGCTTTTAAGGTCAGAAAACAAACTCTTTAGTCTCATTTTAACCTCATAACTCATATTAGTGGGATTATCTGCATGTTAATATTTTGCTAAATTGCCACCTTTTCATAGGGTGCTAAAATAGAAGCACATCTGACAGTTCTCTTGCTGGCATTTTGTGTTTTACTGTTTCACTCCCTGGCATGTGTAGGTGGAGGTGGGCAGTGCATAGCACATATTAGCAGTTGGGTGAACGCAGAGATAAAACCCCAGAGGCCTATTCCACTGGTTACTAGTAGTGCAATTCATGCAACACTGACTGGAATTATTTAGCTTTCATCTGGATGCACACAAATGTCTTAGACAGTTTTATATTTGTATACTGTGTCCATTTTTGCACGATGTTCATTACTTCAGCATTTGACAATTATAATTCTTCAGTGTTCCCTTGTGAGTTACTACTGGTATTGCAAATTCTTTTGGACAAATAATTTTTCAAACTAGATATAAGCTAACTGAGAAACTAGCAATAAAGAGTCTCAGAAATAATTGTGCTGAAATGCTTGCATTTTATAGAACTAAAGAGCCTAGGCAGCTTAAATTTTCTAGAAGATTGAGAGGTAACTCTCTAAACACCAAACTGGTGAATAAGCCAAGTTCTTGACTGGACAGAGAAGGAATGAAAAAGAGTTATGAAACCAAGACCAAAAAGTCCACGAAACACTACTTATTCTGCTCTAACCACTTTTGTGATTGGGATCTACAGCTAGGAATTCTGTCAACACGCAAAGTTACATTTTTACTTTTCAGCTTGTCCAAAACTGTCATAACTGTTTTCTTTACCTTGAAATATAGCAAGATAGAAATATTATTCTCTTCCGAGAGAGAGAGAATGAGTCAGAGACACACTGTTTCAACCACAGTATGACAAGCATCTTTCCATGACTGAACATGGAAAGATATGAATTGTATGGGCAGTCGGTTTAGCTTCTCTGAACAGGACCCAAAAAATATGTCTGTCCTTCCATATAAGACTACTGAATAGTTCAGCAACAAGCACACCTCAAAAAGTTTGACCTTCTCTTCCTGTACTTCATGTTGCCCTGTTGACAGCTCATCTAACAGAGTTTATGGATTTTTATTTCTTTTGTACCTATAGTTATTTTGTACAAAGCTGCAGCCACTGTATTTATATAAGTATTCCTGTCAGAGATGAGCACCTGAAAGTTTTGGTTGGTCTGTATAACTGAGTCCACAGCTTGGGTTAGTCTGTTGGAGAGATCTGCTGGAGTAGAGATACAAGAGATGGAAGGGTCAGGATCTAGCTCCAGAACAGATCTGCTTAGTACACATAGAGACACTGAGGCAGTGAACTGCTGCTGGATGGGATTAGTGTTTGCAGTATATGGTTTCTATGGCAGTACATTAAGAATCTTGCCTCAGGTTTGGCAATAGATTCTGAGAACAGATATTACGTCAAGAATTCTCCATATGATGAAGCAATCGTATGTGTGTTTTTGGTTTGTTGTTGTTGTTTTATCCACTGGAAAATAAAGTCTGATAATCTTTGCTTAATACCATGTGTGTAAACTCCACACTTCAATAAATCGCAAAGGTTGGTGGAATTTGCAGGCCTCAGCATAGGCTTTCCAGATGCTTCTGGAAAAGTTCTTCTTCTTGGTTTGCAGTCAAGTGTAAATCGTAAGGAAATCTTGCTACATTAATCCCATTGCTCATAGGAGTGTTCTTCTTCAAAGAAATTTGAGTCTACATACAAGTCTGTTTTCCTCTAGAGACTTTTCCTTAGAATTATACACCCTTGAACTTTGGTCTGTATTACAGAGGAAAATTTTATGTAGGTTGCATGTATAGTGAATTCTAAAAGAGGCAAATATTGCAGAAATACTAAATTTTAAGTCAACTCCTTATTCAGCTTGCCTGTTGTGTGTTCAGGTATGCTATTTCACACTTACGTTGTTAACATGATGCTTCTGGGAAAGAAAATCTATCCATATAAGTGAGTTAATTTATAGTTTAACTGCCTGTAGAGTCCTAAGATATTAAAAGGCAACTTAGCTAGAACCTGATACTTATTGATGGGAAGATTTGAACATTTTTGCATGAGGTTATGTATAAAACCTTTTGGCACTAAATACACTGCAAAATAAAGGGGCTATGTAATCAATACAAAGGAGTCTGAAGTACAGATGTAAGCACCATGCAAATAATTTTTTTATGTCGAAAGATATACACAAAATATTTTTACATATGAAAATACTTATTAGACAAAATAACTTGAAGCAGTGGAATAATTGGCACATATTCAAATTATGGTTAATTGAATTCTTCATCTGTGGCTTAGAGAGCCACATGGGGTACAGACTGTGCATAGAGGAAGTAATTTTCATTAACAGGATATAATTTAGAATGAGAAAACATATACACTCTGCCTGAAACACTGTTAATAATTAATATGGAATAAATACATAGACATGTACTGAGTTACCATATTTCTACCTGTCACTCTAGAATTTCAGCAACTCATTTGCATCCTAAGTAAGTATATTTATTCAGAGAGATGACACTGTAACACTGCCTTTGAAAGTGGAAGACCTTTATGTCACAGTATCGAAAATGACTCATCCTTTTTACTGAGATGGCAAAGTGAGATCAGAATCATGATCTGATCTACTTACATCTCTCAAAGAAGTTTGCATGTTTCTGAACAAACACCGTACAGGTACAAACCTGATAAACAGTTCTCAAACTGATCATTACTTTTGAGGCTGATCAGTATTTCTCAGCTACAATAGAGACAAAAAGAATCTTTTAAGAAAATATACTATTTCAATTTTGTATTCTAATGATATATAATATTTATTTTTTTGTCTCATATATTTTGTTAATGTTGAGATATATTTGTGTATATGAAGCAAGTTATTTGAAAACTAAAGTATAAAAAAACTTTTGCCTGATGAATGAAAGAACGTATATCATGTCAGAGAAGGGAATGGATGAATGAAATCCAAAAAGTCTATTTGATTCAAGCTCTGTCAACGGCTCAGTGCATAAATTTTAAGCAATCTGCATTGCACTTAATCCTGAAAATGATTGATGTTATTTTGGATAAAAAATTCTGTAAATCAGGATCTCACTTGGGCTTCTCTTAGTATTTTGATCTTAGCTCAGGGAAAGTGTAAACATGCTTAAGACCAGCTCCATTTGGGACAGAGCTCTAAAACGAAATCTGTGGCTTCAATAAAACTAAAAAGTGTTCCTTGGATAATACTTTGAATCCTGTTGAAGATTCCTCAACATTTCAGCTGAACCCTGAAGCAGAAGGGTAGTGAGAATACAGCTTGAAAGTACCCGATGTAGTAGACCTTAACCTGCCCTGCCTGAGAAGGAATGTGATGGCAGACATTTGAGGGAGGGCAGCTACTAGATGAATCTTTGTAAGTCCTCCAGGTATTTTGGTTGGTTGTTTTTATAAACGCTTCTTTCTCTTTCTTCTAATTTGAGTCAACAATTTTTCTCCTGCATAGATTTTCATTATATGCTTTATTTCATGAGATGTTTTATTTCTCTTGTCTGGATTTCAATTATCAGCCATATGGTAAAGAACCTTGAGAGATAAGTGGGAACAGACTGTTAGTCTACAAGAATGCTTTTTAATTCTACCCATTTTGTCATATTTCTGCCATACTTATTTTATTCACTACAGTCCTATTTAGTCTTTCTGAATTGTAAGGCCATACTTAGTATTTCCTTTTCTTTTTAACAACAGGTGGTAACAATATTGGCAAACATGTCTGTCTTGGACCAATGTGCTTCAGAAATCATTCAAGGAAATGGTATGTATTTTAACTGAATTATATTCCACATGTGTTTGTGGAGAATATTTGAAAGGAAAGGAATATTTACTAGTTAAAGGAGAAAGGCTTCTCAATTAATACTTCACTTTGCATCCCATTTCTGCTGGATATTGCATATTGCTGCAGGGTACAAAGTGAGTCCTTGGGATGGTTCCATGCAATGGAAATAAATTGCCACCAAAGTTCAGAAAACTTTGCGTGTAAGGCAACAGACTGATCGTGTGTCTGTGTGTAACTTATTTGTAGACAGAATGCAAGGTATTGTTCCAACAGCTGTTATTCTAGTAATCACAGTGTGTAAGGTGGCAATTCTTACACGTTGAAATATGTTTGGTACTGAACCACTTAGTGTTTTTGTTTGACTTTGCTCACTAGTATTCAGGGGCACAAATTCTGAAGCACTGTTTATATTACTGTGCAGCGCTTGCCAATTTTTTCCGCACTTCTTTAAATATCACACTGTGAGAAATTCGTGTTATCGAAAAGAATCAAGTCTGCCAGGAGAAAGCTTACAGGTTAGGTTAATAATTGTGTGAATGAGAATACAGGAAGACCTAACTGCCTCACTAATACATCTCTCAGCAACTTCATGGCTAAGGTAAACTGTAAGCCTTTTTTTTTTTTTTTTTTTTCCCCTGTACTCTCTAGTGAGAAATATTCAATAAGTGTGAAGTTTCACATACGTTGCCTTTTCTGTCCTAGAAATATCACTTCCACAATTTTTTTAATTAATGTTTGATAGGAATGGCTTGGTTTTGGATCCATTTTAATCTCAAACATGGATGGAGGTGGTAGAAAGTATGTAGAAATAGTTCTTGAGATAGAATTGGTCTGCTCCAAAGTACATAGCTCTCTCTGAAAATAATGCCTTCTATTTCCTTCCATGGAAAGGAAATAGGTACAAAGACCAGAATAACACTATTTGATAGTGCAAATTTTCAGCTCCAAAACATTGATTTTCAATGCTGTCACCACCATAGCTATTCATTTTCACCAGTGATGAACAAGAGCCCACGTTCCATGCTCGTAATAATCTACACTAGAGAAATGACCGACTGTTTCATAGCTGCTATGATGGAGCTGTTGCTAGGAAAATATTGCCCATGCAATCTATCTTTCATTGGCCTGTACAGGTGGAAGTCAGAAGGTGCCAACCAAATCTGAACTATACAGTGAATGTGGTAGAACATTCCAGCCAAGATTGGCAATGTGCTCCAGAGTCCTCAAACTGGTATGCAGATTGGCGTTATCATGGTGCAGGAGAAAGGTTGTTGTCTTCTCTATCCTGACTATGGAAGTTCAGGGCTTTGGCTTAATCAGTATAACAGAGATCAGAGTTGATAATTTGTCTGGCTTCCAGGAAATCTAGAAGGATCATCAAAAGGACAGTGCTGAGGACTATGTCTTGAACCTCTTCTTTGATAGGGAATTCACGTGTTCCCATTGTATAGTCTGCTGTTTTGACTCTGGCTTGCAGGGGTGATATCATGTCTCTTCACCACTAATGGTGTATTCCAGGAAACTTTCACCACTGGTCTCATACTGATTCAACACGTCCTGACAAACTTGCAGTGTTCTTTCTGTTCCTCTGCAAGCATTTGTGGGACTCACCTGATGCAAACGTTGTGACATTCCAATATTGCCACCATCATTTCCAATGCATTGAAGCCAACACTCAACTTCATACACAGTTCCCTGGTTGTAATTCACCGGTTCGCACAGACGAGCTAACTGAGATGCTTTTCATTTCATGATGTGACAGCCATGCATGGCTGTTTGCAACGTGGCTTGTCTTTCACATTTTTTCTACATGGAGGAGTCCGATTCCATGTCTTTGTTTCATCAGGACTTGTGTGTCAGATGCCATTTTGTCAGACTGCCTCTCTGCTGCCATCAGTCACAAAGCAACAGAATGGTGGGAAGGTTCAACCTCTACTGCCACACCACCAATATTTGTCTCTCATGTTGTGAGCCAACATAATAAAATAGGAGGCATTGCTTTCAGCAGCCCTCGCAATACTGAATTTAGCTGTTTCTTGTATTTCAGTGCAAAATTTGAGTTCTGAGCACATAAATATGGCTGACAAGGTTCAGAAATGGCTAATTTGCTTGTTGGGATCCATGTTTACAGAGAGGTAGCATGCATGGAAAATTTTACATGCCTTGGAGATAAGCAGATTGATTATTTAGTTTGGGTATCTGTTTCCTTGAGCACACCAGAAACTGTTTTGTTCTTGGGAAAGGTGTTTGATCACCACAAGTCTCCACAAGTTACCACAAGTGCAGAAAGATCATAAAAAGACAGTCAAGCATGAAGTGCTTTGTAGCGCAGGGACATTGCTTTAAAAGAACTCCAGCAAATTGTTGCATACTTCTTATAAACTGTACTAGATCTGTGTGTGTTCACACCACTGGTGAACTGTGACTAGAAGTAATAAAAAATAAACACACAATACCAAATAGCCCCTTCTCTTTCCTAAAAGAATACAGAAGTATTTTCTCTAATCCTCCCTCAGTGAAACGTGTAATTAATGGAAGTCTGTATGTGATAAAGTTTGTGTATACGCTCCTTAATGGAAATTCATACAGAAGCATTTGTCCTCTGGCTTTTCAGAAGGGTTGGCACTCAGCTTGTGTATAAAAGCTTCTTGTATTTGCCTAATACTATGATAATTAGATGCTGGTCGGAAGCCAGACTAATACATGCACTACTGAGAAGGACCTTAAGATCTTATAGAGTCTGGATGGATTTTTTTCCCAACTTTGACTTATTTTGTACGTCAATTGATCATTATCTCGTTGTGTGATTCTGGTGCTAATTCTCCTAATTATTTATGCAAATATTCTAATGGTTAAAATCCTCTGATGCTACCTAAAGTAATCTGAATTTCCTAATGGCATATGGAGTCTAATAGCACATAATTGTCCTTACAGTTAAAATAACTTAGAAAATATAAATCAGCACAGTCTCTGGTTTTCTCCTGCTACAATGAGTATCTACTCTTACAGGTAAAAAAAAAAAGTTGATAAAAACATTTTACATTGTTTCTTCTGAAATGAAGTCATCACACAGTAAACTTCAAGACATAGAACCTCACAATTCCCCTCATTAAGGGGATGCAGATTACTGTAAATACTTTGAGATGGAAGCTTTTAAAGGCTTGCTTAAAATTATGTAAACTTGGAAAAAAACAACCACCACCACTTTTACTTTCTTTTAATTAAAAGGAAAGACTGAAATATATTCCTCCTGTTTTTGAGGTTAGTGACAACCTTTAGGCTAGCTTAAATTCAGTTAAGGAATGGAGGTGTTCAAGGAAAATTTGGATGTTGTGTTGAGGGACATGGTTTAGCGAGAACCATTGGTGATGGGTGAATGGTTGGACTGGATGATCCTGTGGGTCTTTTCCAACCTTAGTGATTCTGATTCTATTCATCAACTTTTCACAATTTTAGTTGAGTCAGCATGTATTTGGGCTGTTTCCAACAGGCTGAATGGAAGAGGAAAGAGTTAGTGCATTTTCTAGTTAAGAAATTTCTGTAGTTTCCTGATGAAAACAAACATTCACAGATCAGATGGACCAAAATACCAATGGCAGAATTGCAGCTCACAGTTATGCATTCTTCATGCCCTAATCCTGTAGTGGTTACATTTACCTAACTTTCTATTTCCCTTTACTATTATAAGGTGATATTTTTTGTTGCAGAGAAGTTAACAATGGCTCTTATATCCTTGTAGGTGTTCAACTTTTAATGGAAATGCTCTTTGAGAGGTCATCTTCAGGAAATTCAGCAGAAGTTGCCGCTTGTGAGCGAGTTCAACAGAAATCTGCAGTTACACTGGCACGACTCAGCCGGGATCCTGAAGTGGCAGATGCAGCTGTAAAACTCAGCTGTAAGGATGTGTCACTGGCTTAATGGAAAACTGAAAAAGAGGGAGGAACTGTCAGCCTAGGAGAAGCTCTTTTCATTTTTTTAGCCTGACTTGGTACAGTTTGTGGAATAGGTTGCCTATAAAATCTCTTCAGAAGGTGAGGAGGTTGTACTTAATGAACCTCTGGCTCAATTCCCAGAGGAACCTGAGGTACAGCTTCCACTCAACGCATAGCTGTGACAGACTGTGACAACCAACTCCGGACTACCTCCCACGCTCCTTTATTTAAAGCCTAGTGCAGAATCCAACAGTGGGCATGAAACTCAGATTCCTGCAAACTCAGATGTGATGAATCTGATGGGAAGCCACATATTCTTTTGAATGTAGGTTTTTAAAGACGTGGGAGAATTGATGGGGAAGAAAGGGAATCATGATTTTTGTTCTGAAAGAGCAACAAAGGGTAAAAACAATGCATTTCTTGTTTTTGATTTATGACAATCAATCATGAACTGCTAACTCCATGGAGAATCCCTTAAGTATTTGTACAACATTTTGCATTAGTAAACATATCTGGTAAGGGAGATAAATATTAAAGTTTATAAGGGAGAAAGACCTTTTATCCTTATTATCTCAAAAGTAATTTGTGTTTCTAAAATATTTCTCCCAATACTCTTCTGTGCTTTCAGGTATTCCTCGCCTAATTAAACTTTGCAGATCACCAACTGAAAGAAATAACAGCGATTCCGTCTTAGTAGCATGCCTGGTAGGTATCTTTTTACCATCTTCTTGTGCTTGTCCTGAAATATGGATAAAATGCTGCCCTTTCATTTCAAAATGCATAAGCATTGAAAAAACATTTTAAATTCTTGCCAGGAGATTAATACTTTACAGTGTCAATAATTTTTCCTCTAATTGAAGATTTAGACACATGTATACGTGACTTTATATTACTGAGAAATTTCACTAGAACATTTTGTAATTTAAAGTTTCAATCATTCTTAAACTTCATTCTCTTATGATGCTGTCTTTGCTGAAATAAGTCCTGTGATCACAGAGGCAGTAGGCCTTTATCTAAGTGCATGAGCACACGTGTGAAAATATTTAAGTAAAATAGCCAAAGAGTCTCTATGATCCATTTCTTTCTTCTTAAGATTCTCACAAATATAGAGCTCAGCCAAGGAGTGACCAGCAGGTTAACATTGCTTAAGAGAAGAATCCTTGCTGCTTGCTGGCCCCGCTTGGTTATTGTAGCTTTGGTTAACACACCTACCTTGCAGATGAGGAGTTTTGTTCATTTAAACAGAACTTATTCAGGATGAAGAAGGTTCAAATTTGAGCACAAGAAATTCTGTGGTTCTTTCACATGTGAGCTGAGAAGAGTGGTTAATCTTGCATGGCTTGAGCAGAGGGCATAGAATGACAGTAGCAAACTATGACGATGATTTTCCTGCTGCTCTGTCTGCTCTGTTCACCTGCTGCTCTGTCTCACAGCATCACAGAATTGCAGGGGTTGACCTCAAGATGTTTAAGTCCAAACCCCCGCTAAAGCAGGTACCCTGCATTCACAAAAGTTGTGTTGCACATTCCCTGAATTCATACTTATTGAGTTGTTACCTGCTTGTCTCAGTACTTCTGCTTCTCTTAGTGTTTTAGCAACTGCCAGATGACACTTTCTGTAAACATGGCAAAATATTGTATATTGTGCTTGAGACAGATACAATGCCTCAGGTTCGTAGATATGGTCATTGAAATCTAAAGGCTTCCATTGTTTGGTATTTTTAGGTTGGTTCTTTACTTTTTGTGCATTTTGACGCAGGTGATTAACTCTTGTGGTAATATAGCACTGATAAACACCATGAAGATAGCTGATCACAACTGTCAGACCTTACTAGCTTAAAGACAATTTTTGGTCTTGAAGAAAGCCAGTTCAGTTGCTTCCATAGTGTTAGGTTGTTAAAATGTATGCAATTATGTATTCTTGTCCGCTGAGAAATATTAATTTCTTAGAAAAGGTGAGGTTACAGACAACAGTATGATCAAAGCAATTTGTTATGTAGTCTCACAATCTGAAAAATTGCAGTTTTGTTTGTTCCCAAGTGGTTTGACATGTTTGGCTTCTTTCTATTACTCTTTTATCTAAAAGATCTCTATTCCAGATTTTGCTTAAAACTTCAGTGGGAGAAGTTTACAATCAAAATGCTCTGGCTGTCATTCTTTCCTTTAATATCCCACTGTCCCTCCTGCTCATGTTCAGGAGTAATCTGCCCACAAAGAATTATCATTTAGTAGCTGATTCTGAAGGGGGATTCATCTGATAGTAGAGGACAGCAGTGAAAAATTAGCTTGAAGAAGAGTCCATGTAAGGGAGTTGATCTGTTTTGAGTCTTGGCTGCTACTTGGAGATTGTTATAATGGATTCCTGCAATGAAGACTTTCTCAAAGCTTAAATGCATTAATGTCTTGCACTAATTTTTATTTATTTATTTATTTATTTTTAGGCAGCCTTACGAAGACTAGCAGTTATGAGTCCTGATCGACTTGAAGATTCAGATTTTCAGCAGTTAGTAAAGCCCAGGCTTGTGGATTCCTTCCTACTATGCACAAATATGGAAGAGAGCTTTGTATAAATGTGAGCCAAAAGCAACCTATCCTTTGAAAAACAATCAAGATAATACATAATGAGATAGTACATACTCAGTTTTACTTAGATATAGTCCTATTGTTATTTATGACTTATTTATTTTAAAACCATGATCATATGGCTTGTGGGGAAAAGAAATAGAATAAGCAAACTTATTTCTGTGGTTTGTAAAGGTAAATTTTTTAAAAAAGCAAAACAACAACACAAAAACTTCCTATACTAAGGCATGTTAGGAGATTTTATCATTGCAGCCTGACAATTATTGTCATGTTTAGTAGAACTGAAAGAAGGTATAGAAGCCAAGAATTTGGTGCTCTTATTTTAAATGCTTGTAATGATGTCTTATTGCTGATATTTTTCTATAGGTGGAACATTTTTCAGTTTCTTTAGCAAATGTGTTACTCTGTTGCATTTGTTGCATCAAAAGAGAATTGACCCTTAAGGCTGTAAATGTATTCTTTAAAATGAATGGGATTTTACCATCTAAGTCCAGTTCCTTATTGTTCTATCTTTTAATTGAGTTCTAAAGAGATGTAAATGAGTATTTTTCAGAAGTTTTTCAAATATTGGCTTGGCATTGTGTTAGAGGGCATTTCTAAGCTATATGAAGATATGCTTCATTAGACAATATGTAAATACAGACCACTTTTATTTGCATGTAAAGAAATTAAAAGACGTATAGAAAAGTTATCATGAAATCAAACCTATCATCAGTGTGAGATTTAGGATCATTACACATTAATAATCTTCCCTCTTTTCCAAGCCTTCCAAGATGTGGAAGTGAATACATACAGACATGTTTTTAATACTCAGTTTACTACTTTTACGAAAAATTTTGCTTGCGTACATTAAATAATTAGAACAGGTAATTGCAACTTGAATTTCCATTTTCTTTTTTTTAAGGTAGTCTTGTATTTATAAAGCTGTGAAACAGGACTTCCAAGAACTCTTGGAGTTGATACAAGGTGATTTTACCAGTAGATTACAAGAAAAAGAATAGAGTTGGTTTTAAAAATAGATTCATCTTTTTCTTTTCATCAAGAAGCTATATGCATTTACAATTAGTCTCCTGGCAATATGCTGAGTGTTTTTCACCCCAGCTTCACACAAAACATTCTGTAAGTCATGACAGTGTATGTAATTTTTTCTTGATGACTTGGATCCATTGCTCTGGATCATTTTGTGATTGAAAACTTTACGGTACTAGGACATATGCCAAATAAATAAGTACACTTTGTTAGTGTACTTACTTCAGAGATATCTTAAGCAACTTAATTCATTACAGTTTATTTAGTATTATGTGGTTTTTAGATGACAGGCACCAGAAAATTGCTAAGCCATGTTTGCTTTCCACATTTTCTTTGTCTGAGGAATCTCCCTTGCTTCAAGCAGTGACAAATGGTGATCACCTGTTCTTATATTCTAGAATATATGTTCTAAGAAGTCTCAATACTTCTTCAAGGGAAGTTTTAAAAACATTAAAAGACACACAAGAATGTCTTAAGCAACTGTTCAAAGATAAACAGTGGATCAGATGTTTCACAGATGTGATTTCCTAGTAAGAGAAGAGATGAATTCTACTATGTGTGCATACTTTGAGGCAGCTCCTTAAATGTATGACATTAAGACATATTGTACTGTACGGCTTTCAAATTATTACACAAGTGACTGACATTTTCTTCACATAGCAGAAATACGTGTATGCTTTAAACAGTAGAATCAGTGTTCTTCATGTAAAACAATGAACTCAAAACTGATAGTAGGACCTTATGTTCATTTCTCATGTTGATAATCTCTAACAGAATACAATCTGTCAAAACCTGTTGCTTAACGCTGTACTGAACATCATTCTGTTAACTGCAGCTAACATCAGAAACTATTCATTTGTACACAGGGCAGAGTTTGTCCCATAATAGATGATGTTAAAATCTCATGAAAAAGAAAACAAATAACTGTGGGGCATGTACATTCAGAAAAGGGCAGAGATGATCTCATGATCATGGCAATGGAGTTGTATAGTAGAACTGGGAGCTCCAAATCCAATTTATGCTGATATTACTCAGGAAAGTAGCAGTGGACTATAGATGGTTAATGCAAATGTAACAGGCTCTCTTGTGGAAAAAATTATCAGACTGTTGGACAGTTGTTGCTCATAGATCAGAATCATAAAACCAGGGAAATTTCAGTGCTTCCAAGGCAAAAGGACTAATTCCTGGGCTTTCAGCAGTGCAGCTCAACTGTAAGATGGTAGCATGCTTGTGTGTGTATATATATAGACACAGCTATGTGTGTATGTATACATTTATCCCTTACTCTCCTTTTTTTTTTTTAATATAGGCAGGTTGTTATAAAAGTATTTTATATATGTATTTATATACATAAAAATAATTTGAGAGCACAGTCAAATGTAGCAGAAAAAATATAATTTGGCTGCAATTGGAATTCAGAACAGTGCTTTTCAGTATTTTTTTTTCCAGTAATGTCAATCTCTGGAAACAGAAAAACAAAATGAATATATTAGGTATGGGCATGACATCAGTTCTCATGCCAATCCATCCTGCAGTCTGAGGCAAGGATGTAAAAGCTCTGTAACAACCTGATTATTGTTCTTGTGAGACCTGACTTTTGCTGATGATAATAGTGAATATAATAGCACTGTTCTTGACTAGGCAGGAAATGCTCATTCAATTGAAAGTTCAATTAGAAATTAATGAAAAGAAATAATCATGGATAGTTTATAGCAATCTGTTCTGTAAAACTCTTTACAAGATATATTGCTGCAATCAAAAAGACGTTATATTTTCAGTATAGTGTCACGTAATGTAGTGTCCACACACGTAAAGTAAATTAATATAGCTATTAAGAATATGCCATTATGACCCATAGCATTTTCAAGCCATGTCAAACTGGTCTCAAACAAATATTCAGTGAGCAGGCCAGTAGGAACAAAGAAGTCAACTTGCTCTCAGGTACAACACTGTGAATCCAGATTAATTGACTTTACTCAAATACTCTCTGTCTGTAAGTATGTAGCCATAATTCTGAGCCCATATTGTCTGTTTATTTGTATTCATATTATAAATGTGGCTGTTTACAGAAAGAAAATACACTTGAATGAATCTCATATTTGTAGTTGAAAAATATGTATTGAAAGAACCAGTTCAGAATCGCTGTCATTTAAGTGTCATTGAAGCCATTTTTGCTAGGGCTGAACTTTTCATCTAAAGTTGTGCACTTTATTTTTATATACGCTAGAGTTTATGGAAAAATAGTTCATCTTGCTTCCTTTCTTCTTCATTCATTAAGAATTTAAAAGTCATTAAAAATTTGAAATATGAAATATTCTTTTCTTTGGCTGAGTTTTGGATCCCCACTGTTTTTTTTTTTTGACGGTCATTTTCAGTTTTTTAATTTTTAAGATGAATATTTTAAGGCTGAATAAAAATGCTTAATGTCAGTCTTGTATGAAACAAAATCTTTCATGTCAAGAATTTCACTTAAGTATCCTGTCTGGTGTGTGAAAATTAGGGCTCTGTATATTTATTTAGTTAGCAGAGTAAGATAGAAGGCATCTATAATACCTGTAATATATGTGGACTCATTACTCTATAGAGAATGCATGTAGGTTAGGTATTAGCTTAATCATTCTGGAAACTGAAAGTTATAATTGCTGGAATTGTTTTAATTTCATCTAAATTGTTCTGAAAATTTCAGTTTTTGTATGTTTTTAGAAATGTTGGACAAGTATGCAGTGGACTGCAGAATTTTTAGTAAATGATTTATGTTCCAATGGCTTTGGACAGTGTGTTCAATTTCTGGCTTTAGCTTAAACTGCTTAAAGATATATGCAGCCCAGGCATTTTATTTGTAGAATTTTTTTTTTTCTCAGATTTTTTTTTGTGTGTTTAATATATGAATCATTTATGTGGTATGCTACTTGTCTGTCCTTTTCTGTTTGAAATAATGTTTGTATCTACAGGAGGCAAGATAGTATCTTGGTAAATTGGTTGACTTACCTATTTTCTAGGGTTGCCTATTAGTATTTGAAACAGGATTTGGTCTGCAGAGGGTCACATTGCCTGCTTAGAAGACTGATTATCTATCTTGAACGACTTGTTCTAAATATCTATCTTTGATATCATGCTTGTAAGCAATGAACGGCCAAAATCACAGAATTGCAGGGGTTGGAAGGGACCTCAAGGGATTGACTCCACTCCCCCACTAAAGCAGGTATCCTCCAATAGGTCAGACAGGAATGTGTCCAGATAGATCTTGAATATCTCCATTGAATGAAACTCCACAACCTCTCTGGGCAACCCGTTCCAGTGCTCTGCCACCTTTATTATAAGTAAGTTCCTCTGCACATTAGTACAGAACTTCCTATGTTCAACTTTTAGGCCTTAGGCCGTTTCTCCTTGTCCTGCTGCTACACACCACTGAGAAGAGCCTGGCCTTGTCCATTTGCCTCCCACCTCCCTTTAGATATTTAGAAACATTTATCTGATCCCCTCTCAGTCATTTTTTCCCCAGACTGAACAGCCCCAGGTCTCTCAGCCTTTTCTCATAAGGGAGATGCTCCAGGCCCCTAACCATCTTTGCAGCCCTCTGCTGGACTCCTTCTAGGCGATCCCTGTCTTTTTGAACTAGGGAGCCCAGAACTGGACCCAGTAGTCTAAATGTGGCCTCATCAGAGCTGAGTAGAGGGGAAGGATAACCTTCTTCAACCTGCTGGCCATATTCTTTTTAATTGCCACAAGGGCATGCTGCTGGCTTATGGCCAACCTGTTGTGCACCAGTACCCCAGATCCTTCTCTGCAGCGCTCCTCTCCAGTAGGTAAAATAACATTAGCTTCTTTAATCTGAGAAATCTATTCTGCCTTTTCTGTTCAATTTTATGTTAAACCTAATATATTGAAAGTTACACTCTACTCGCTAAATGACTCGCTACTATTCTTATTTTTAAAGGTAGGTAGGGAGATGGCATTGAGCATTGAAAGATAGATCTAGAGTGAATTTTTTCGTCTGAGTTGGAAGTGCTTATCTGGTGGTGAGATGGTTGAATAGTTTTAGAGAAAATATTTATAATAGTCTCCTTTGAAGTACTAGTACATTTACAAGAAGACTTTGTAACTAAGAGTTTGTGAATTGATCAGTCTCATGCCAAATCACCACTGAATTATAATAATAAGGGAAAACTGGTAGCATAAGTACAAACAGAGCACCGTCTAGTTAAAGATCTTTT